CAATGGCAGCGAGCCCAGCCCTCGGTTGCGACAGTCGTTGCTACCATTCCGCCATGAGCGCACGAGGTCTAGAGTGCGGTTATTCGGCGTTATTAAGCTTTTTGATATTGGGATTCTCTGTGACATTTTTTTTGTATCCAAAATCTAATTGAACAGTAGATTTATTCCATAATATTTTTAGATAGTTACCTAAAAATAAATGATAAAAGATTATACATCTCTGCCTATCCCTTCTTGGAATAAAAATAGATGTCGTTGTCAATCTCCGTGAGACCTCGCCACGTTCACCCGTACCGAGGCCGGACGATAAGCGCATCCTATCTCTAGGTCACAATGTCCCCAAACGGTAATTGAACCCACGACCCTGAGTTATGTTTGAATGTTTTTCTTCTTGCGAACCCGCCCATTGTGTTATAAATAATTTTATATGATACGTCTTTAAACAACTGAACTTTAAACTTTACTGAATTAGTAAATTCATATTAGTTCTTAGTATTGAAGTCGTTGAGTCCAGTCTCGAATGTAAATAATAGTCGGGATCTCCAAATCAGTCGAATAAAATCGATTTACGATTGGTCTGGTAGAAAATATCGATTGACATGGACTTATTCATTCTACCATTTTTTTTTTAAATTGCCCCACACTAATATTTCTCCTGTGTCATGGGTGCGTTTTTTTTTTCTACACTATCTCCGACATCTTTAGCCGATGGCGTCTATATCAACTAGTTCTCCGTTCATACCAGTTCTCGCATTTTTTTCTCTCGCACTACCATTCAGTATACTTGTTCTTTCTCTCATTCATCATCTTTTTTGCATTTTGTGGGTGAGTGCCCACTTCGTGGGTGAGTCACGTTCACATACACATGACATCGAGACCCGGCACAGCAATCTGTGGATCACACACACAAAGACTTTTTCGTGCGGGAATCGAACCCGCGACACGTTGCGCGGCAGTCAGTTGCCCAACCACCACGCCAACCGTGCAGTCAAGATTGATTGATGGCATCAATCAATGAACCAGAAGAACCAAGAAAGAGTTGGAGTAGCTTGATATGCATTTACCTGTAGATATTGTATTGTTATTGACGCCCAGGATGATCATGGGAACGTCAATACTGGGCGCAGTCACTATCACGCGCTTCACACTGTCACATGCTAGATGACCCTGGCAGAGAGGAATAAAACATTACCAAAAGACACTAAAGAAACCTTAAATAAACAAAGTATAATTAATAGTGTTTGTGTTTGTATTCTAATTGGTTAATATGTCATTGTGAGTGGTAAGACTAACAGGACTTTATTCGCTAGTGGCGCCACTTGATGAATGCAAATAATTATCTGTAGGCTCTATGGCCCCATTGTCTGTTGGAAAACGAGAAATATTGTGTATTGCAATAACAAATATACTGCGTGTAATATTATAGGCATTTTTGCTCAGGTAAACTTGGCATTTGTTGGCATATTAATGAAATATGAACTTTGAAAGGAACTGTCACAGCCTTCACCTACTGCTGCAATTGCTACAAATACCAAATGGCTAGATATATTATTTTTTTACTATAAATTTATGAATAAATAAATGGAGTGGAGTGAAGTACTGTGAGTGGATAAGTTGGCAGGTAACGTACCGATGCTTTATCCAGGCTGGTGAACATTCCAGAAGCTTCGATGACATACTGCACTCCGACGGTTTGCCAGGGCACGCTCGGTGGGAACTTCTCACGGAAGACTTTGATCAGCCGATCTGTGTAATGTACAGACATTATTAGGTTCCTAGCAAAAGATATTCTACGCAAAAATAAATGCTTTTTTTTAAGGGGGGAAAATCATCAAATGACTGCTCCAGCCTGGGTGCGCGGGAGGGAGTGTCAGACTCTTACTGACTAAAAACCACCCCGTTCCTTCTCCTGCACGTCGAGCCGGAGCCCCGGTTACCCGTTAGGTTCTCCGCGACATCATAAATGCTTAGGTTAAATATCTAGCCGAAGACATTTTTGTTTGAACACAATCTCTGAAATTTTCGGTTAAGTTTAAAAAAAGGTTTTTTAACTATGTAGCTACTACTGCTTATGCTCTAGAAATTCTATTACTATTTCACTCTACAAGATTCGAGGAAGAGAAGTTGGTAAGAACTGCTAGAAGAAACTAGGTAATAAGATTAATTTTTAAAATGCTACCTCTATATAAAAATGACTTTCCGTTCGTTAGTCTCGCTTAAAACTCGAGAACGACTGAACCGATTTTGCTAATTTTAGTCTTAGAAGAGATAGAGAACTAAATTTAGCGATCTAGCCCAAAGGATTAGCAAGCTGAAATGGCAGTGGGCCGGTCACATTTGTCGAAGAACCGATGACCGCTGGAGTAGACGTGTTCTGGAGTGGAGACCGCGTCTAGGCAAACGTAGTGTAGGGCGCCCTCCAGCTAGGTGGAGTGACGATATACGTAAAGTGGCTGGTAGTAGTTGGATGCGTAGAGCTGAAGACCGAGCTCAGTGGCGTGCCATTGGAGAGGCTTATGTCCGGCAGTGGACGAAAACAGGCTGTTGATGAGTTTTAGAATGGTCGTGGAAGTTCAGGGAAGATTTAGACGGTGAGAAATCAGTAGGGTAAAAAAAAATGAGGCGGTACGAAGTTTGTTGTTGGTTTGTTAGTTTCCTATATACTTTTATATGACCACAGCTGATGCAAGAAGACTCTAAAGGTCATACGTCGCAGGTACTATCATACAAGTATTATATTTAGTTCTTATACTTAGGTCTCTTGGTCCAAGATAACATACCGCGCCTCTCATAAACTCTGATCCCCGTATCAAATACATTATAAACCAATAGGTTAAAAAAGTGGGCGGTTTCTTGTCGAACAAAAACAATGATAAAAAAAACTATGTAAGTAGGTACGTAATCGTCCGAAAATATTGTATTTTTTATGAACAAGAAGATAAACTCATCCGTACTAATGAAAACAATATGTTAGTTTGTCTGTACCGTCAGCCGTCATTGTAAATGAAGTAGGTCCATTGGGATTTTATGGTATTGTATGGTATGATTTTCTCATTTTTATGTCTGGAGGAAACGTTTTTTCCTTTCACTACGCGGGCGAAGCTGCAGGTAACAGCTAGTCTACTACACTGCTGAATCGCGAGTATGTATCATGCACATCAGTTGACATCAGTATAAAGACGAACACTAATGAATATGATTATGTATAGATAACAAGTAAGTGCACGTAGTGTTACATAAAGGTGAGTATATGCTTATGACTTTGAATGGACACTAGGTCAGCTAGCGTTAGGTCAAAAGATTAGCCCTATCTCAACTAAGTGTGCGTAGGAGGAAGTTCCCTTACGAGAGGGTGTGCCATAATCCCCATACTTGTTGCACAGGTTGGGGATTGCTGTTAAGCGATCGAAAAATAAAAGTAGGTACGCTGCGTCTCTCGTGAGACTGGTCTATTTTTTTGGTCTTTTCACGCCGTTAAAATAAGAAGAGAAAATGACATTTTTTTATTCTTATTTTGAGATATTCTGCCATTAAGCCAAATGCATGTGCTTTTGGTTTGGGTGGTAATAAAAAAATGACTTATAAAAGGACAGGCAAAGCAATATTTAGATTAGGGAGTGGCAAGTTCATCAGGAAATAAACTTGCATCTGAGTAATAGGATTATTATCTAATTACTAATACTTAACTAACTAACACAATTGAATTATTTACCATTGATTTGAACTTCATTCTCTGTATGGGTGACATTGTCCTTGAATTTTCCATGTGTGGAGTCGAATTTAATTAAATAGCAGATATATTCAATGTCGATCGCAGGATCGTTAATCGCAGCTAACTGATAAAAAAAATAGTAATAAATATTGTATTAAAGTAACTACGTTCATGGGTCACTAGTAGAGGGTGAAGAAAACCCTTTTAAATTACATATTTACACATTTTAATTTCCATGTTTAGTGGTGTAAATCCCAATAAGGTTAATAAGATTATAATACCACATAGTAACAGCAAAAATGTTAGCAAAATTAGATGCACACTTTAATAAAAAAAATAATCTTATATTCAATGATTTTTTAGCCAGTGTTATACCCAGCTATTGTTAAGAAAATACCATCATTATAAGTGAAAAATGCCTGAAGAAATCTAATATGCAAACAAAAAAAAAAGTAGGTAATCGTTGAGAATTTTACCTCGACATCAGGATTCTGAAGGCAAGTTCTAAATATTACCCTGCCAATGCGGCCGAAACCATTTATTCCCACTTTTATAACCATTCCCGATGTGCTTGGACTGAAACATTTAAATAGATTTTGATTATATTTTGAATATTTATTTGATTGATGCGAGTTGACATTTTGAATTACGCGCTTCATCAACAAGATGACTGTCAATGGACCAAATAATTATAATTGATAATTATTGATTTTTAGTAAAATTGACAAAAGTAATCGTATATTTTTATTCAAATTATTTATACAGTTAAAACAAACATTTTACATAAATTTTTAACCAATAGAAAACCGGTTTTTATTTAACGTTACCGGTAAATTATGCTGAAATCACTAGAGATGATAGGCATAGAGAAAATATAGAGTCGAGTATATAGATTGGAGTTAAAAGATAAGTCAATAGGTAAAATATGACCAAAACAAAATTGTTATTGAAAAACGTAAGAAACAGTTAAACTAAATCAATTATTAATTGAACCCAATCACCTTACAAAGTTCATGTGCCTATTAAACTGAGAAACTTTGATTATTATACTAAAAGTGAAACTTTTCTACACAAGTTGCGTTTAATTTCTTATTAATGTAGTAAGTATTATAGAAGACAGTTTGAAGATTCAAAAAGTACATTTCGCAACTCTTAAGACAGTTAACTATAGTTTACTTTAAAAAAGACTACTATCATCAACGTATAGGTATCATATCATACTTGATCGTACGTTAACCATCTATAGTTTTTATGATCTATGTTTCATTGATCTTCTGGAAATTGTCTATTATACGACGCCCGTCCTGCCTTGTCCTTCAGCTGACATTTTAAAACTCCATCTCGAGGAGAGCATACGTGGAGTTACTTATTTTACCAGTCTCTAAATAAATTAATTCCGGTAAGTGCAACAATTACATGTTAATTTTATTCAAGCTACTTACATTGTCTTTATGAGCTCTTTATTAATTAGAAACGTTGCATAATTTGCTGCGTTTATTTAACCACGTAGCAATGTATGATTACGCCGACTTATTTAACTGATTTATATTCCTAAATATTGTTAATTTATTGTTAATTACTTTAGCTAGTATACAGAAGTTTTTGTACATTTTTGTAATACTACTGAATTCCTTGTAAATTTTATCATGTTTTGCGGTATTTGTGAGTGACCTCTACATGACCTCCATACCGGCCGGTATTCATTCGTCCTATAGTAATTGTTAGGTGATCTCATGTAACTATGAGACAAACAAATGCAATACATGTATGCAATAGAATCAACGCTCGCTGACATTTAATTATTTATATCCCGGGCTTCCGTATTCTGCTATTTATATTTCGGTAACTGACCTACGTGCAAACAAACAGCTACAGCAATGCAATGTTATGTCAGTTGCATTACAGTTAAATCTAATTTTGAGTTGGTAGGTTCCCTCTGATATTTAATAATTATGATGAAAATGATTGCATTATGTAGTTACCGAGTAATTTAAATTACTATTTCACTGATTTTAACATTTTTTTTATTAATGTTTTACTACATTACTTAGGTTTTACTTTAACCGTTTCTCTGCAAGTGAAAAGCATATAATTTGGTTTGCGATATACCTAATGAGGGACTTTCGGTGTCCCATCGCATGACCTTGAAATGGCCTAAGGGACGCCAGTTGCGCAAGAATAATATTGCAAACATAATATATTATTACGTGGAACATTTTCATTCCTTCCTTATTTCTCATTCCGTGCGTAAAAGACTCACATACCTAGCTGAAAATGATTCACATTAATCATTTTATTGTACCCGATTGTTGTCACGTACCTAGATAATGTCGTCGTGTCTTTTACCCTTATTACAACAATATTTTTTTTTTATATTATTCTTCTATTGAAAACAAAATAATTCTTTAATTATTATTAATCTAATATTCTGGAAAAAAAACCTTGTAGAAAACTATTTAGTGCAGACAATTTCCTTATTAACATAACATGCTTTTATAAATAAGCTGAGATATTTTATTTGAATACTTATTTAACTTGTTTGTCGAGATCCAGACACACCTCCTGTACACAAGGCCAAATAAATGTCGACTAGTTTCGACTAATTTAAAAATCTATTATTACCACCAACGCAGTAATGTGATTGTAACATCGCTATTACAATTTATCAGTATTTTAACAGATTTCCGACGTTATCAGCTATGTTGAAATCGGTCCACAAACTCTTTATCAATCTTTATAGCAGCAAACACTTATTGTATAATGACACGAAACTTATAATTTACTGTATGTATTTATGTTTTTACTTTCTTCTATTACAGACATGTCCAAAATCGGTATCAACGGTTTCGGCCGCATTGGCCGTCTGGTCCTCCGTGCTGCCGTTGAGAAGGGCGCACAGGTCGTTGCCATCAACGACCCCTTCATTGGTCTTGACTACATGGTCTACCTCTTCAAGTATGACTCCACCCACGGTCGTTTCAAGGGCACCGTTGATATTCAAGATGGCTACCTTGTTGTAAACGGCAACAAGATCGCCGTCTTCTGCGAGAGGGACCCCAAGGCTATCCCATGGGGCAAGGCTGGCGCTGAATACATCGTTGAGTCCACCGGTGTCTTCACAACTACAGAGAAGGCATCTGCTCACTTGGAGGGTGGTGCCAAGAAGGTCATCATCTCTGCTCCCAGTGCTGATGCTCCCATGTTCGTGGTTGGTGTCAACCTTGACGCTTACGATCCTTCCTACAAGGTCATCTCCAACGCTTCCTGCACGACCAACTGTCTCGCTCCTCTCGCCAAAGTTATCCATGACAACTTCGAGATCGTTGAAGGTCTGATGACCACCGTGCACGCCACCACCGCTACCCAGAAGACTGTTGATGGACCCTCTGGAAAACTGTGGCGTGATGGCCGTGGTGCCCAGCAGAACATCATTCCCGCCGCCACTGGCGCTGCTAAAGCCGTCGGCAAAGTCATTCCTGCTCTCAATGGAAAGCTGACTGGTATGGCTTTCCGTGTTCCTGTTGCTAACGTCTCAGTCGTCGACCTGACTGTCCGTCTTGGCAAGCCCGCCAGCTACGACGCTATCAAGCAGAAGGTCAAGGAGGCAGCCCAAGGACCCTTGAAGGGTATTCTTGACTACACTGAGGAACAGGTCGTGTCATCTGACTTCATTGGTGACAACCACTCTTCCATCTTCGATGCTGCTGCCGGTATCTCTCTGAACGACAACTTCGTCAAGCTCATCAGCTGGTATGACAACGAGTTTGGCTACTCCAACCGCGTTATCGATCTCATCAAGTACATCCAGACCAAGGATTAAATGTTAGATTGCATTGTAGAGATAAATGTTGTTATGAATGTTTATGAATATGATTTTGTCGACGATATCGACTTTTATAATTTAAGCTTAAGTATAGCGGTCAAGTCTAAATTATTATTTAACCACTTTGAAAGTGGTGTTATACGTGTATAATGTATCACGTTTATAAAACTATTGCAATATCGCAAATCAAATCAGTACTCAGTAAAAGTTATTAAAATTATTCCTATTGTTTCATTTCTTATTACATAGTCTTTTTTTATCAAGGTCCGACATAGACACCTGTTTAGAGAAATTAGTTACGTTTGCATACATGAGCAAAAACCAAGCTGTTCATGACCCAAAGTTGGGTAACTTAAAAATATTCTTGGTAATTTATTGTATTCTTTGTATAGTTTAGTTATGTTAATGATATTACATCAACAGCCTGTTATAGACCACTGCTGGACATAGGCCTCTCTAATGGCACGACATTGAGCTCGATCTTCAGCTCTACGCATCCAACCATTACTAGCCACTTTGTGGATATCGTCACTGCACCTAGTTGGAGGGTGCCCTACACTACGTTTACCTAAATGCGGTCTTCACGTCAGAATACGTCCACCCCAAAGGTCATCGGTTCTTCGACAAATGTGACCGGCCCACTGCCATTTCAGTTTGCCAATCCTTTGGGCTACGTCCGTAACTTTAGTTCTCAGTCGGATCACCTCGTTACAGATCCTATCTTTCAGAGAAACTTCAAGCATAGCTCTCTCTATAGCTCACTGCGCCACCTTAAATTGGTGGACCAGTTGCACTGTTAATGTTCACGTCTCGGCTTCGTATATCATTACTGGGAGGACGCAATCGTTGAAGACTGTTGTCTTCAGGCTTTGTGGTAGGGTTGACGAATAGACCTAATAGAGTTGCCTATATGCTGCCCAGCCTAACTGTACCTAATCTATTACGAGCCCACCTTTCAAAACTTTCTACCAAACTCTCAGGAGTATACCAAATTGAAGGGTTTGTTTCTTTGTGTTTGTTTTTGTAAATAATATTAAAGTTTTTATATTTTGATTCTTAGAGTATACCAAACTGAAGGATTTGTTTTTTTGAGTTTGTCTTTGTAAATAATATTAGAGTTTTATATTTTGATTCTTTCACCTTTATAATTCTATATTAGTCCTGTAGTGCTATTATTACCCCTTGGCTAATGATGTTATTGATAAGATGAAACAGATCAAAAGACGCATGTTTTTTTTTTAAACGAAATATGCTAGATACAATGATTTATTTATCGCCTCGTATTTATTCGAACAACGGTAAAACTTGAGTAAAAGTGGTTTATTGAGCACCATCCAAAAAATTAACTATATTCCACGTTTATAGTATTCAGAGGGTTTTTAACTAATTCATTTATTTCTAATATATTTTGATGAATTAGGTATTTATGTTTTCCTTCTTCGTAACAAAACGAATTACTTTCCAAAATATAACTAATTTAATATAACTCCGAAGAATTAAAATCCACTAAATCTTCATTACTATCATCTACCGATTGGAGAGTTACTCTAAAATCGGTTTCTGAACGTGAAACAGAGCTCCACTCTAAATATATTAATGGCCGCATTAGGCAGCTGTCTGTCAGTGACATTTGGTTTGCTTCGTGTAAATTTTGTGATGTACAAGTTTCGAATCCGTCTATTTATCAATGAATATGGTGTACATTAATAGATAATGGTTGTTTGTGTTGCCTATTTAATATTTAACTAAAGACACTGTGTAGAAATCCATAATATTATTATTTTATTACTATAATGGAGGATCTCAATTTGACAGAAACCGAAATGAGATATTTCGGTGATTTGTTTTTATGTTGTGACGAAGAATCCAATGGGAAAATACCAATATTAAAAGCAACAGAATTATTTCGTTCGTCAAATGTACACAACGATGTCCTAAAACAGGTAAGTAGTGGTATAGGTTAGAGTATGATAACATATTTTGTGAATGAGTGATTATGAACACTAATTATACGTTACAGATCATGGATATAAGCGTTGCTCCTAATAACTGTGCGTCACTGAGTCATATGAACAGAAAACAATTTTATTCAGCACTGAAACTAATAGCAGCCCATCAGACAAATATGACAGTGAAGCCTGATCTGTTGTCAACTCCTTTGGACTTGCCTCTGCCGAGGTTTACATGGGCACTAAACTCTGAGGCGAACGCTGACCTGATACAATTATCAAATTCCCCCCATGAACACCAACTCCACCTGAGTAAAAGAGAAAGAAACTTTGGTGGAACACTTGGTGCATATGAGCCTATAAGACTGTCATCGAACTTGTCTGATAGTGATGTCCCTCAGGCCCTGTCTCACGATACTACTGAAGGACTAAGTACAGACTCGGAAATTGAATCTGAAACCCTGTCACAGAGATCTGGATCCCGTGGGGTGAGTTTCTTGTCTAAAAACTTATTATATTTTAATTAAAATTTGAAGATATCTCTATGAGAATGTCTTTCAATACCTAAGTTTACCTTTTATATATGTAAAAGTCTTATTTAGTTAAATCTGCAACACAACAATACTCTTCTTTTGTCAACATACTTACACTCTTCAAATACAGACTTATCTTACTAATAGGTGTTATAAATACGAAAGGTACAGAGTTTGTGTGCATATATTAACATATATCCGATCTCTTCAGTCTCTTTGACATGATTGTGTGAGAGAAGAGATCTAGATGAAATTTAGTACAGAGGTAGATTATGATCTGAAATACTTTTTGTCTCATGGGAACGCGGGTGATGCTGCCGGTAAAAGCTAGTGTCCAATATGTTAATACTAAAAGACCATTTATCCAATTCACATTTGTGAGCCGCAATTGCCACCATTAAAGTATATTTAGTGTTGTAATAAGATTTTGATTGATACATTAAGGTTTCAACAAGATAACACAAGTTTAAACATTAGGTAGAAGTTTTATCAGTCAGGTTAACAACCGACTAATAGTGTACCAGTGCAGGTTGATAAGAAAACTGTTCTGTTTGTGCTCTGTTCGTTAGGTCAGGTATTTTTAAATAATTATTTTAGTTGATAACATAAAGCTTGTTATTTTCCGAAGAGGTTTGCCGGGGTGTAATTAGTGTACTTTGTTGTACCTATTTGAGTATAAGCATCTACTAGCAGCTGATACCTTATTTATTATTCCAAACCTAAATCTGTACCGAATTCACAGATTTGTTCAATAGTTTTTGCATAAGAGTAATAATTATTCATATCTAGAAACATGCATTCTCACAAACTATTGCATTGTTCTTTGTGAGTCATTAGTAAGGTGTAATGTTATTTAGAGAATGAGCCTATTGCCAAATGCTGCACAATTTTAGATTCTATTGTACTGAGAATTGGAAAATACAATAAAATTACTGTTAGAGGTGAAAAATACTCATTATTGCTACGTCTCTCATCTCTCTCCTATGACTACAGGTTATGTATTATACCAAGCACCAAGCATGATGCTTATTCAGAGAAGACATTTACATTTGTCATGTTTCTGTGGTTTTATTCATTTAATATTTATAATAATTATAGCTGCATTATGAGCTATTTTATTTGACAGTGAATAACTGTCTTTATATAAATATCTATTCCGATAATAATTACAAACCAAACATTGTATTTATTAAGACATTGACATCAATAAGTTATCAGATCCTTGGAAATCAGTCACATAATCTTATCCATTTATTTAGAACTCAAATAATGTTCCTTGATGGTTTTTCTAGATTAAATTGTACTAACAATTGTTATAACTTTTTTGGTTGTGTAAAAGTTCTAATATTAGAGTTTGGTGTGGAGCTTTGCCGATATTACTAAGATAAAAAGCATTTCCTAAGTGTTGTTTCCCGCATATCTGCATGCCAAATAAATTCTTTCATGCCAAAAATTTTTAAACAGCTCTTGCTTTACTGTAAAGTAAACATGAATTCAAAGATTTTTTTTTTTAATTTACTCATTAGAATTTAACTAACAAAATGTAACTCTGTGTACTACATTAATTTTTGTGCATTTACTAAGCATTTCTAAGACCAATATCGAAGTGATATTTTAAATACCTGTCTCATTAGTTAACTAACTAGTTTTCACTCTTGTCTGTCAAATTTTTCTAACGGAAATACCAATTTTATTATCCTTAACCAATCAGCAAGCAGTTACGAAATGAGTCATTGTGGTCTTTAGTAAATATGTTCATGATATTCAAGATTAGAATATATTTTTAAATGAATGAATAATAGCTATAACATAAACAATATTTCATTTAGGCCGGGAAATGGGAAATATGTTTAAATTAACGGTATTTACGTATTATTTGCTATTTATGACAATAGAGGTTGATAAGTGTTTCCTTGGATAGTGTTATTAACGGAAGTTTAATACCAATAAGTGGGTTTTTATGCAATTAAAAATACTTATTTTCCTTTTGATACCCAAATATAGGTATTTATGTTGGTCTGATGGTGGCTTAAATGGGCGTTAACTGTAAGAAAATGTAGTTTTGTATAGGATGAACATTTCGTGGATTAATTTACCGATATCAGAGATTGCAAATCTAAAAAGGTACACTATCTCTGCCTTTGTGTAAAAGCTTTTTCCCAAGGATTCACTTGCATACATTTATATACATTTTATCTATAAATTCAATATTACATTATTTTTACACCACCATGTATTACCTATTTTAGGAACAATTCCCTCTAAACAATTCCGTGCCATCAAAAGAACAGTTAATCCAATTTCGAACTTAAAAAAATGCCTATGGCGCATGGCGTTTGGATTAGGCACTCGAAACTACTGCACGGATTTTTATGCAATTGTAACCAGTGGGCAAGTGTCACGGGCGACAACGAAAGTGAAAAGCTAGTTAGAAAAAAATGCTAGTAATTATTGGCAAGGCCTTCTATTGTATGAAAAGTCACGCCTGTCTTCCATTGGGGTAGGCAGAGACAATGGAATGCCAAATGATACGATACTGGTATACGTCTTTTGCCTCTTTAATTCACGCTCGTCGATTGATGGTTATTATAATTGCACATAACTCAAACGAAAAGTTTGTGTTACATCTAATACTCTTTCTGCCCCGGGTAAGTCATGAGGGAGTGACAAGACTAATTGGCTAAAACCACCCCATTCCAACACCGACTCCACCGACTCCGAGCCGGGGTTGCGTTAACTTCAGTATCACCATCGTCACATCTGCCTCAAGACGTCCTCTGCTGAACATAGGCCTCCCCTAGACTTAAGCCCAAGACTTCCACGAAAACAAATGCAATTCAGAGAATGAAAAGTCCTGGTGTTTCTTGCTCGTTCCTCTTCAATCGAAATTACACTTTGGAATGAGCGCTTTGGAAGCGCGCAGACAGACGGACGGACGAAACTGCCTACTTAAGGATTCATAGTCTGAAACACAGGTTCAACCTAGTTCAGGCAAATAAGCTACTGAGCTCTAATCAAATCGTTAAGATACTATTCATGTAAATATGTCCTTTTTTATAAAATAAACAATTTATTTATTTATATTGAAATAAATGCTTTGACTTTGATTTTATATACGTTTTTATGTCTATGGTGACAAGGTCGTTTTGTAAGACGTAGTACGAATACGCCATAGTCGCCAGTACATATTTAGTGAGCATTCGACCTTGCACGTGTGCTGTTAATTTGCTGATACATATTCATTATTATATAAGCCTATGTCTAAGTATGTGTACTAGTTTTTTTATGTATTTTTTTCAAGTACGAATTTGTTTATTTTGGTTTTAAATGTTAACCGTTAATGGAGCTGTTAGTAATATACTAGCCGATGTTTTACTTTTAATACGAGTTTGTTTTACGTTTAAAGTAATCGAAACGAGACCGCGTTCAGCGCTGTGATTGACCGGTTCCAATGAACCAACCAATCAGAGCACCGGACGAGGTTTCGTTTTGATTACTTAACGACAAAGAAATTCGTACTAAGCCCTCTGATTGTTTGGTTCATTGGAGCCAGCCAATCAGAGGCCTTAGTACGAGTTTGTTGTAGATGTAGGTTACAGGTTACACCTATTATTCGATAGCTTAGTCATTGAGCCCTTTGGGCCTAAATGTGCTGTTAATAACGGTTTTAAAATAAAATACAATTATACTTTACTCAAGCGATTGCAATCTAAAGGCAAGAAGGCTTAGCTGTTCATTATAAAGGTAGTAAAATTAGTGATTCAGGGGAAATCCCGAAAACTGCAATGTTTTCCTTGTTTTTGTTGTAGACTTTAGTTAGCTTCCTCGTTCAGTCACACCTCGCTGTCTTTTGTTAAAGTTACATATAACGTCTTTTAATACTGGTATAAACAATTAGTTTAAGACATCCTATAATATTTTTATTCCCTCTGTGTTTAGAAGTGTATTGCAGGATTATAACACTATGAAATATTGTCCCTATACCTTAGTTTGAACCCAACGGTCGCGGAGAACCTAACGTGTAACCAGGGCTCCGGCTCAACGTGCAGGAGAAGGAACGGGGTGGTTTTTAGTCAGCAAGAGTCTGACACTCCCTCCCGCATCACCCAGGCGGGAGCAGGCATTCGATGATTTCCCCCCCTTAAAAAAAATCTTAAGTTTATAAAGAAAGATATACAAATTCACTTTAAAAGAAAGATCGAAAGTTCAGACACTGCAGCATATCTAATTACCCTAGCTAGGCTTAATAGATTTACAACTTTACCATTTTGTATTTAAAGTCCATAACACGGAAAAGAACCAGTCACGTTGTACTTACATTAATTTGTCATCTTTCAAACCATTAACTATACAAATAAATAAAATTGAAGTGTCTGTTTGTAATATTAAAATAACCGCATTTTACTACCTACATGCATAAATGAATGTACATACGATACACATACCAATATAACATATTTGGATTTTTTGTCTGTCTGTCTGTTTGTCTCTCTGTTTGTACTGGCTAATCTCTGGAATGGTTGGACCGGTACTAACAGGACTTGTATTGTCAGGTAGCTAATGTACTAAGAAGTAATATAGGCTACTTTTATTTTCGAAAATTGAATAATAAAAAATTTTATGTCCTGAAAGTCATTCTACGCGAACGAATTCGCGGGCAATTCACACAATTGGACAAAAAACTAGTTACTAAATATATTTGTTGTATGTTACAGAGAAGAGTCGGTAAGAATGGCTCGCCTTGGAGTACGGCAAGCGAGAGTCCCACTCCGACGAACAGCGTGGCTGAGAGAGTACATCCTGTGTGGGAACATAGCGCCACCGGTCGAGGGGTGTGGCCTGCCAACACTGGAGAAGAACACACGAGACTACTTGGTAAGATAAACCTTCTTGTATATATTCTATAGGTACATAATTATAATAAAATCGTAGGAAAGTGAAAACCGTATATCGAATTTGTTGTTAAAAGAATGCTTGTGCGTGATCTACGGTAGATCCCGAAACCCAAAATATGGTTTTTAGAATTTTTGTCTGTTTGTGTGTATGTATGTCCGGGATGAACTCAAAAAGTGCTGCATGGATTTACTTCCAATTTTGCATGAATATTACTAACAGGTCGGGTCAACATATAGGCTACATATTACCATGTTATTAACTACGGCGGAGGAGCTGTGAATCACTGTTCTACGCGGACAAAGTCGTGGGCTCAGCTAGTAACTTATAAACTTTACCTCTATAAAGATTTACGATGATGATTTTAAGACATTGATGGCCGTTTTTATCAACCAACTCATAACTAATAATCATTTAGCGTGACGTAGTGCCTAAACGAACTTCTCCTTACTTGCTTTTTTAAATGTCACTTATAGATTGGTAAAAAACACAATGTCGTTAGATGTCACTTATCTTAGCTTAAATTAATATAGGAAACAGGCATTAGAGTATTTGCATTTCGTTTCTTGCTCTTATTATGATTACTTGGGCTCAGTGCAATTTGTTTTAATGTATTCATTTTCCATACATAATTGGTCAGTTTCCTAGGTTTAAAATAAATTGTTTCAACTTTTTAATGCAATAAATAATTAAGAAATAATCACACACTCGTCCATTGATTTGACAATTTACCTACTTTTGGATTTTTAACTCGCTAATTTTAAGAAAATAAGTATGCTATTTGACGCAGAAATATGATGACGTCATAAGTTGCGATCCAATACAAAATAGAAAAGTTTTTGACGTTTCTTTGACTACTTGTAAACCTTTTTTTTAAAGTAACTACCTATTATTTATATCCTAATATTTCCATTGTAGGTACTAGGTAGTAAGTACATACATGCCTTATCAGACGTAATTTTATTATAGACTAATTAATAATAACTTCATTGCCTTCAATGATGATGATCGTCAAAAAGAACTATTTATTTATTATTTGGTTCAAATTCAAATCCCAGGGTATATCATGTTCAGCTATAGTAGGTACTTTACACCATCATACCAATTAAGCAATAAAAGTAGTATTTAAAATCAATTGGTTGATTGCTAAAGTGTTCACATTATCGCATACAACACACCGACATTGTTAGTTTCATTCGACTAAAGTGCTTCTATCGAACAAAATCAAAAAGTCTCGTATGCAAGTAATTGGCACTCAATTCACACCATATAAACTAGAACAACCAATGCTTGCAGTTCCCTCTCTGATACTTGAAAATTAAACTACACGCTCATGCCAATTTGATATTACGAGCATAGAAAATAAGGGCGGTTTTCGTATTATTATTGCTGTATTTTATGTTGGTTAGGCACTTGTTCCACTGCTAGCGGGAAAGAAACTAAGCCATTTATTAAAGAGCTACTTTGCTAGTTTTGTCACTAGGACATACTCTAACACCATTCAACTTTAAGTCGCGCTTAATTATAATTCTGTCTCTACACATTCTTTGTAAAATGACAGGGATGGCACGATATTTAAGTATGTACAGTAGAACTTAAGAGTAGCCTTTAAATCCATCCCCTAAATTTGGTCATACAAAAGTTGTCTCTAAACATTGGAAATAAGGGCTATAATGTAATGTAAAATTAGTGGAAAGCTGTCACCGGTGACCGCTTGGGGATTTATGGGTTAATAAAGACTTGTCATACTAACACACTAGTAAGTGAGCTTTGGCTCAGGGGGAAAATTATTTCAAATACATACTTACATTATATTACATAACTGCCTCGTTGGCCGAGTAGTCGCAAGTGCAACTGCCGGGCAAGGGGTTTCGGGTTCGATTTCCGGGTCGGACAAAGTATTACTGGGATTTTCAAAAAATCTTATTAGTAGCACGGAGTCTGGAATTGTGCCCGGTATATGGCAATAGGCTCACCCCCCATTACATGGGACTCATAACATAAAATAGTGAAAAGTGGGTGTTACATTGTAAGTACAATGGCATAAGTGCCGTAATGTACACCTCTGCCTACCCCTTCAGGGATAAAAGGCGTAATGTTATGTTACATACTTACATGTTACTCTACAACTCGTAGCTAATTTCCTTTCCTACCCGTTACTCGCAAATCGCTAACAGTAGAACAGTGGCCTTATCTCACAGTATAGCATCTGGCTTAAGGGGCACGTGGCTCCGTGAATAATGGTCGCGTAGTTGGAGCAATTTGTGAATTTGTCGCGATCAGTACTGAATGAGAACCCTTCGTACATTGTCATGATTGTTAAACTGCCGTCTCGATTGGTCGCATGTAGGTACCTATATTATGTATTAGGTACATAGTTCTGATTATTCACTTTCTAGAAGTCTGAGTGTTGTGATCAAAGGATTCACTTTAAAATTACTTGATTGAATAATAAAGTAATAAATATTTTTATTACGCATTAATAATTGCAAATAATTGTTCAAATGACCTTAAATGGTCACATTTCATTTAAAACTCCTACTGAAACCACAATAAAACTATTCTTATATTACGACTATGTCTTACGATAACTAAATCATTCAGCGCACTTCATTTATCTAACAGAAAATTGACAAGAGAAGCACTCTTTGCTACCCTACTAAACCCATAACTATCTACTTAGACATAACGATAGAAAATATTACTTATTTTTAAAAATTTGCAAAAAGTATAGCATAACACGTAAGTACATACATTCAATTGGATTCCACGTGGTCATAGTGTATCGTGGTACTTATATCTACAATTGACCTTAATTACTTACGTTTTCGCATTTCGGCACTAGTTAAAACTAATAGGCTTTTTTATAGTTCAATGAGTCAGTATACCTTTTAAATGTCCGAATACACTAGACAATATGTGACTTGTGCCGGAACACTGAAACGTTACTCAATTTAAAGTCGTGCTTAAATATCGTGCCATCTCTGTCATTTTACAAAGAATTTGTAGTGACAGAACTATACTTAAGCACTACTTAAATTGAGTAGCGTTTGAATATTCCGACAATAGTCTTTTTTTATCAAGGTACTTGGAACTTGGTATAATACGATTTTCTTTTTTCTCTTTTGCTATACATCTCATAGATGTCTTTTGTGAAGGGAAGGTGTGTGCTCCTAGCTTAAATTAATGTCCCTTTAACCCTTTAACCTATTTATTATTTTCAATAATAACTTATCTATACATCTTCTATCTTCTATACTTATAATAAATCTGTAGAGAGGTCAATTCTGTACATAAAATATATTTAAAAAATAACTATCAAGGGGTGGTTAGGGATCGCTACTGATGCCAAAAATGCAATCAGTAAAATTTTTGTCTGTCTGTCTGTCTGTCTGTATGTTCGTTATGGAAACAAAAACTACTCGACGGATTTTAACGAAATTTGGGACACTTATTCTTCATACTCTTGGGCAGGTTATAGTATACTTTTCATTACGCTATGATCAATAGGAGCAGAGCAGTGAAGGGAAATATTGGGAAAACGGGAGAAGTTACTCCATTTTTTAAGCTTCCGTCGCGTGTGCAGGCGTAATAGTTAAAGCTACATAGAAATCATGTATGACGGAAATGTTCTACATAAAATTATCTAAATAATATCCCACAACTGCACATGTCTATCTTTTATGGTTGACTTACAATAACACGTGTAACTCCAGATAGCTTAGCAGTTCGGAGCTTTCTGCTTATATTTGTTTACTCTTACGTTTACAATACTCATCCATAGACTTTACGCTGTAACTGTAGGGCCAATGGCTGAAATTAGCTTGACTCGATATTATAAATGTGAAAATATGTGAGCTTATGTGTTTGTGTATGTTTGTTACCTACTCAGTCATATTAAAACGACTGAAGGGACCGGAATGAAATTCGGAACAGAGGTAGAGTATGGTGTGAAGTAATACATTGGCATTTTCCCCCTGGGATCGCGGGCGAAGCCGCTGGCAGAAGCTAGTATATAATAAAATCGTAGAATAGTCGAAACTGTACATTGAATATTTTTTTAAAGAATACTTGGGACGTGATTTACAGTCGATACTGAAGCCAGAAATATTGTTTATAGAATTTTCGTCTGTTTGTCTTGTTGTCTCTATGTATGTTCGGGATGATCTCAAAAAGTACTGCATGGATTTACTTCAAATTTTGTATGATTATTGCTAAAAGTCGGGTCAACATATAGGCTACATATTATTACGCTATCACCTACGGGGTAAGCGCAGTAAATAACTATTCCACACGAACGAAGTCGCGGGCACAGCTAGTTGTTTTATAAAACGCAGTAATTATGTTAATTCAAGATTAAAACTTCGTGGCATACCTTTAGAATCTAAACTAAGAAATGTGTAGATGTCACGCATGAAATTCACACGCAGACCCTTGAAGTAAAGCTAGGAATTCGATTAGGCTTGTAGATAAAATTGTTCATTCCCTAGAGACCTTAGTATTAGGTTTTAATTTTTATTACGAAGGGCTACTTACTACACCTTAAACCTATATTATTTGTTGTTTAATGTTACTCAACTAAATATTTAGAAAGTGTAACGTTTCTGATAGTGTTTTGTCGTGATGTTCACAGGAACGGAAGAGGAGTCCTCAGACCGTCATTCGTCTGAAGAAGAGGGTGATGGAGTGGACGACATCTGGGCCATCAGCGACGCGCAGGCGCGACATTACGCTGGACAGTTCGCGCAGCTGCGGCCCGAGCGAGGCATGCTGTCTGGACAAACTGCTAGGTAATTTACTTTTCAGCAAAAATAGGTTACAACTATTGTTAGATAACTTTGAAATGTTCATTTAAAATGATTGTTATCTTCAGGTTATTTTTCGAAAAATCGCACCTACCTGTACCCGACCTGCGAAAAATATGGCAACTATCAGACATCAACAAGGATGGCATGCTAACACTGGAGGAGTTCAGCATAGCGATGCACCTGATTGTGCTGAGGCGGAACAACATCCCGGTGCCCGATGTATTACCTGCGTGCCTCGTGCCCAGGGTGGACTCACGGTACTCCAAGCAGGCCGTCACCACCGACCTCGTGGATCTCGGCGCCGACATGTTCAGCTCCGGTACTTCCGCAGATTTCAACTTCGCACCCAAACCCGAAACGCACGACCCTTACGACGCGACCAAGGTGACTAAGAAACTTGAAGAGCGACAGCCCTCCCTAACCCCGCCGAAAATTGAAGGGCAAGTGAACAACAAGGAGTGGACCAAGTTCGTAGACTCCCCCACCTCTAGTGTATCCAGCCCGGGACCCAAACCTGTCAACTTTGATTTTCACAAATCTGCGGTGGAGCGAGACCCTAAGATCTTCCACCCGGTGGCCGTGCGCGTCACTCCTGACGGTAACTCGCTGCCAGCGCATGGCGAAGGGGACACGCGGTCTAGTACGTCGCCACGTCGCGATGACTTCGCGCACGCCTTCGAGCTGGCCAGCCCCAAGCGACTTCACGCCGCACCTCCCGCCGAACCACCGCCCAATGGCGCTGAGATCAAGTCTATCCAACGACCACAGCCTCGCAAGCCACTGAAGGCAGCCGGTGCACTGCCCCCGCCACCCGCACGAGACACCTCGCACGATGACGGGCCGCAGTCCCTCCAGTTTGCCCCCAAGAAGGAGCCCCCGCCGCCCCCTCCCCCGCGTCCCCTGCGCAACCACGCGCGCTCCAGCTCGCTGGACCTGACGCGGCTGAAGGCGCCGGCCCCTCCACCAGCCCCGCCACCGCGGTCCTCGCCTCCCGGGGCAGAGCGGCGGTTGGCGGCGCAGCGCAGCGAGGGCGAGGCGTCGGTAGGGTCCGGGTTCCCGCCGGACCCGCTGGAGAGCGAGGCGCCGGTGATGCACGGCGCGTTCGAGGTGTACCGGCGCGGGCGCGGGTCGCCGGCGGCGGCGGCGGACGTGCGCGCGCTGCAGGAGCAGAACGCCGTGCTGCACCGCGTGTGCCGCGCGCTGTGCGCCGAGCTGGCCGACGTCACGCGCGACCGCGAGGCGCTGCGCCTGCGCCTCGACAACTCCGCGTCCCAGCTCTAGTCACCGCTCGCTCGGAATCTCTCGCTGTCCCTGGCGTATGACGTAGTACTGTATGTCGCCCCCGCGTCACTAACTCGTTGGACTCGCCCCTCGCCTTGTACTCCGCTTGCGCTGTGCCCCGACGCTAAACATATTTAAACGTACGTTTTGTGGAATATTTAACGTTAGCCGTAGTGTCGCGCAGTATATTTTTTGTGCCTTTTTACAGTTTGAGCATAAGGGGTCCATTTATATTTTATTTCTAGAGGCTATTTTCAATTTTACTATATTATTTACAATGCAGCCGCAGTATTGAACTTGTTTATACTAATTTCCGTAGTCTCAGTAGCATTTAATGTTATTTGGTCACAATATATCATTTTGCATGCATGTAGTTTATTGTATTGTATATAATAAAATTGATATGACGTCACTCAATATATTACCAGAGCTAGTAATGTTGAAGACTTATTAGAGTTAGGGCGAACTACTTCGGGCACATCTAACAAACCAATAAGGGACTGTCATACTGAAATAGAACCTCTGCACGCAAACATAAGATTTCCTTCGAAATAAAAACAAGTGTAAAATAGTGTCGTTTTGTATTTACATTTCAAGTTGTGATCAATTTTCGAATCAATGATAAGTACCAAAAATATGATTTAAATGGTTGATTGAAATTGTCAGTAATTTAGTGTTTTCTAAGAAATATTATAGAGTTGATGTATTATTCAGCGGTTGTGCATGCTTACTCACTTCGTCAATGTCGATACTGATCTACGAGGTTTGGTTTGAAAGGGATAAATTCTCACATAACAGGATAATTCCAATTTGTTTCCTTACAAAAATGTTTTGGAACGTGTAACTCGGCGAAAGGCTAAATATAATAAGATTGAATAATACATTTTGTATGTGTTAACGATATTTTTTGTAATAAAAATTAATATACAGAAAATTATATTCGTTACGAGGCCAAATACTTGTGAATCTATAAGATTCGTAGTTTCCAAATTGTCTAATTATTGTTTTGTATTCGTATTCGTACCGTGGCATTTATAATTTTCATAGTTTACGTTTGTACAATATTAGAAATTAGTTGTAACGCGAACATGTTACTGCAGGGTGGCGCTAGTGTTGCTTGTTTAGCATTCCTTAATATAATTTGCTTTGTCATCGTTGTAAGTGTAAAATTCCATCAGACGGAGGAGTATTTGTTAAAATTTTGTGAATGTTGTATTATACATTAGCTTAGCGAATGTAAAAATGTCAAGAGGTAAGAACTATTGGGAAAGACGATGTACAAGACTTGTGAAGTATGAAGAGTACATAAGATTGTTATATGTAAGTAAGTTTAGTCGCACGGCCCCGCGGCCGCCGCAGATGTTATAAACTATCAGATTACAATATTAGCAACTGAATATGTGTTGAAATAAAACTTGTATTATAATAAGATTATTGTAAAAGTATTTATCTTTCATTTTAGTCGTAACTGTAAGTATATGGTCCTCAGTTGCAGCATCGCAGTGTAAATATTTTATTATCCTCAGAGATACGTCTGTCGAACGCTTTATACATTATAACCCCACTGATCTACATTTTGGTCCAATTTTTGTACTACTAATAATGTTCACCATTATACCTACTATTATATTTACCTATTTATTTATGTTTCATATAAATTTATACCGTAATGCTTAAATACAATGTAGTAAATTATGTACAATAAATTTATTTCAAAATTTTATTAGTATTTGTATTTAAACAGTAGTTCATTGAATAACTAGCGTAGCAGTCAATTTCTTAATATTCAGTACTTGTTCAAATACTTTTAAATGCATGGTCTCTATCAGTCACCAGTCACCGTAAGGGCAATGACATTACATTTGCAATTTTTACTAGTTATTTTTTCTTGTTTGTTAGTCAATTTACACATTTAAATGCAGTCATATAATATACACTTCACATAGATAATGTTCAATTTGTTATCAGAAACTCGACATTCATTACCATATTCTATGCATAAGTTTTAAAAAAGTTTGGATATATTTTCCTGTTGTCTGCTTATGACTAGTAGCAATACCTTATCAAAACAACATCGCTGCATTCCGAGATCGAATACATAATATTAACGATTTCATAAAATTAGGATCCAATTTTAGCTATCTAACTTAATCAGTTTTCATATCAACCGTGCCATATCATACCTAGTTATCGAAAAATCGATACGTAGTGTAGTATATAAATGAAACCGCATCACTATTTGAAATCTACCCTCAGTGATAAGGTGCGGAGTTGATAAGGTGCGCGGCGTGGACAGTCGTACGCGGACACCCGACTGCAGACGTATGCGGCTGCGGCTGCTCCCGCCATTTCTCTCCCTTTCCCGCGGCTACACTGTAGCGCATACCTGCGGACCTTTTTTTGTTATGGTGTCCCTCGCCCCGCGCGCCCCGCCTCGCTCCTCCAAACATACACCGTCTTGAGACGCGACTCGGGGCGCACGCACGCACTCCGCGCGGCCGACACTCTCGCGCGTAAACATTCTCGACTACAATGACATCTTTGATGTAACGCGCCGGATACATCTCTGCAACATGAAGTGCATCGTGGCTGTTGTTGTCGTGACCCTAGTGACCGGAGCCGCCGCCGAGGCCTCCGTGCGGACATGTGAACCTATTAAAGTGGCGATGTGTAAGAACATTGGATACAATCAGACCGGCATGCCCAACCTGGCGCGGCATACCCTGCAGGCGGACGCCGACGTGACGCTGCAGACCTTCAGCCCACTCGTGCAGTACGGGTGCTCCTCTCAGTTGCATCTGTTCCTCTGCTCGGTGTACGTGCCGATGTGTACCGACAAAGTGGCGCTGCCCATCGGGCCCTGCAGAGGACTTTGCGAGAGTGTGTACACCAGATGTTACCCTGTACTCCATGGCTTCGGCTTCCTTTGGCCACCTGAGTTGGATTGTTCTTTATTCCCTGCTGAGAATAATCACGAACACATGTGCATGGAAGGACCGGGAGAACGTGCACCACCAATTGGCACTGTATCTATGGATATGGGTAATTCAGGCGGCCGAGGAGCTTGTCGAAGACTTATAAAACCTAAGAATTGGGTGTGGGTCCGAGGATCCGCACGTTGCGCACAGTTCTGTGACGCAGAAGTACTATGGGATGGTGGAGAAAGAAAAGCAGCAGAAGTTTGGTTAGCTACGTGGGCAGCTTTAAGCTTCGCTTGTACCCTGGCTGCTGTGGGAGCTCAGCTAGCGTGTGGGGATCGCGGTGGGGCCGGGGAGCGCGCGCTGGTGCTGGTGGCGCTGTGCCGCTGCGCCGCGGCCGCGGGCTGGGGCGTGCGCGCCGCGGCCGGCAGGGCGGCTGCCGGCTGTGCCAAGGACTCCACCTCCCCCACGCGCATGTTACTGGCACACGATGGATTAGCTAACCCTAATTGCGCTGTTGTCTTCCTCCTGCTGTATTACTTCGGTCTCGCTGCATCTGTTTGGTAAGTTTATGTTCATTTTATGATTGTTTCTTATTAGGTACTTCTACTTAATTATGACGTTATCTTAAAAGCAAGACACTCAACACATAAATAATCTCATAACGAAATTATATTACATGACACTGACCCACGAAAAATATTCAATGCACAAATTGTTAAAGTTTAACAACCTCGTAATAAAAATAATGTAGGCACACTAATTGGTACCCGTATAAAATTGGCAAGAACCTTGCGAAGCCAGTACCTGCGCACAGCAGACTTAACAAGCCGTCGTTGAGAAAAAAATTGCAACAATTGACGCCTTCGAACAGGATGGACAATGGATTTCTTGTGTTCGGAATCGGGTACCTGTCCTCATTGTCCCGTACCCGGGCCGAACGTTAACTTTGTCACCGATCAATTATGTTTCGTCACTTGTTGTGTTATAATGTAATCTGTCGCTGCTTTGACAAATAACTTCAATACAATACCGAAATTTCTCCTTACATAGATCGATTTTCGTCTTTTGTAGCAAGAATTCAACGAGCTCCAACTCTTTTACAGTTCCCTCTTTGTAATACAAAATCTGAAATTTATCATTGTTTGTAGTCGGACTCGGAGAGCTTGCACAAAGCTATTTTAATTTGAATAGAGCTAACAGAGTTCAAAATCCTGTGCTCGGTGGTATGCTTATTGTTTTCTTAGTCATAAGTCATGCATTGAAACGGTTAGAAACAAATGGTACTTGCTCTTTGTCTAGTTCCTAATAGATGCTGCCGTTACGAAGTCACTTAACTTCTTGAACAAGACAAATACTCGGTTCAATACTTCATCGGATCGTTAACTATGGTTCTCTAATATCCGGACTTTTATTAGTACCTGTAGAAGTCTATGTTTATATTTACTAAGTACTTATTGTGCATCAAAATAGACGTTTCTAGTAGGAAATACGGAGAACGTTACATAGGAATATACTTCTCCAAGTATTTTTATTGGGATTTTTTATCATGTCTAAGGTACTTTTAGTCTCGTCGTTAACTAAAGCCAAATAAACTAACTACTAAACTTAATCATCCCACTAAGAATGGACGTAAGAATTCCATTTTTCAATTTAAAATAACAGTGAGAAGATAAATCACCAACATTTCGTTGTAAAACTATTTCCTTGGAGAACGATAGGGGGAACATCGAGGCTGTAAACTAAAACGAATTGGGAAATAAAATAAACGAGGACCAATAAATCACGGAGAGGCGAAGACGGTGCCGGTGGGAGCGACGAAACACGGCTCGTGTACGTGCGCCCGCGCTGCAAGTTTAACGCACCTTACTTTGTTACATACACAGTTCAAAGATGGACGGACATCAACACGCATGTAACTTTATTAAACTAAATCTAATTTTGGCCTGTACAAAATTAGAACTGGATAGATAATCATATTTTATACTCCGGCCTATAATGAGACAATTAGGACTAAGAATAGATTTCCCATTCGTTCCCTCGTATAAAGTGACATTTTTACAGCATAGGAAATGATTTACCGCCGTCTTCCACAAAAAATAATAAGACGCAGCTGTAAAACGTTCACGTGGTTGTAACAAAATACATTTTGTTGACGAGGACACAGAAAAACTAGCCCTGTTCGGTCTACAAACCAAACACTCGGTTGGTTTTCAAATATAAATCTTATATTGTAACAGTAGGACTCAATATGGGTGCAACAAAGTGTTGTTAAATCTGAAGCGACATGGTGGTGCGGTAAAAACTCGCCGACTTGCATTTCTACATAAATATTGGTTTAACTACCCATACAGCAGTTGCGATCCAATGATTGGTATCTGAGAAATATTGGCAATCAAACTTCTTTACGGCAAACATTAAACATTCTGTGCTGCTAGCTTTTTGTTGCGGCTATCCATAGACTGGGGTATTTGTAATTTGTATTTGTATCGGTTACCGTAAAAAATGTTGAGCAGCGCAGCCAGTAGTTAGTTAAATTACAAAAACGACACGCTATAAAGATCCCGATGGGTTTGTAAGCGAAAAATACTGCTGCCACAGATTTACCAATTAAAAAGAAATGCCTGCCGAGGAACATATTCCCGCCATTCCAGAAATGCGTTTTGTTCTTGCTTGCGAAACCAATGCGCTAATGAAGACATTTTTTGAAATCATAACACGTTTACGAAAGTTCAACTTGATTCTTTAAATACTTTACTTATTATGATATTAACAATAGTTTGACTTTCCTGAACGAATTTCTGCTTTTCCATTTTGCTACGCTACGGTTACTTCGTGTAAAATGTATAATTTTTAACTGTCTTTTAAGACTTTTTACTAATTTGACTTTCTTAAATAGAATCTAATAAATGAACGGCAATTAATATTTCACCTGTTCCTATGAAATTATTTTAAAAAGTGAGCATTATTTCCGATTAATTTATTTTTTAATTTTAATACCTTTCCCATTAGGTACTGTAACTAGACGTCACAAAAAACGTAGAAATTGAAACGTATTATAGGTGCCGTGTTTATTTTTACCAATTAAGAGCGTGCTTGAATTTGTCGATGTTTTTTTATAGTTTAATACCAACCGTTTTAGTATTAATTAAGAGAGCTTGACATTTTGAAGAGCTGACATTCAAGTACCTAGCAATGGGCCATGTGTACTTTGATTACAGTAAGGGTCCTAAGTACGCCATTTTGTGTTCTGAAGTGGGTTATTTTACTACTTAATCTAAAATATTACCGCATTCTGTGTAACTTTGAGTAGGTAATTAGCAATAAAGATAATTACCAATTTAAACACCGATTTCTAACAACGATGATTCTCGTCAAACTTCAACGTATGAGCTTTTAATTATATATTACCGTTACTACGCATCAACTGAGGTAATGACATTAAGCTGTACAGTCTAACACTGCAATTCAACTTTAGAGAATCAAGTTTAAAGGAAAGAGGAATAGTCAGCAAATACCTATTTGTTTTTAAAACTACGCCATTTTGCGATCTAAGCAGTAAAATATTTGTTAAATGTACAAATTCTGACTTTATAGGGTTATTAAACTTGTAATTACCGGCTTTATGAACATGAACATTTAGTTAATGTTTTTGCGAGGTTGATGCCACAAACATTTTCTTAGGATCCCTCTTGATATATTAGATTATTTTAGGCTTTATGTTCTTATGTAGATTTCCAAGATGGTAGATAGGTCTTATAATAAGAAACATTACTGGAAGAAACGACGTGTTATCCTGGTTTCATCAGATTACAAAACGCTATTTGCTTCATCGTCAACCTTAAATCAAACGGAGATCACACACCCACATTTCAACGAGTAAAATCTTGATGCAATCACGGCCCGACTAACTAGGTTTGTTTCTGTGAAATTTAATCCATTATAGCGTCATAAATCACCGATTTAAAAGGTAAACTAATCGTCACCTACGCCAAATTTCGAGGCATTAGTGTGGTGTGGATATAACTATTTCAACACGAAGCCCGTTCACATCACACACATTGGTATTATAAGGAGGACACACACCCGTAACAGTTGTAAATCTCGGTTTATAGCGGGCATTATTAATTTCTTAGAAAGCCACATTTTCGGTACAAAACTGACTCGTTATGATAATTTCCCTGTGATTTATACGACGTCGGTGTTCTTTGAATGTTTCTAATGTTAATCCTAAACGCGTTTTAGTGAGAAAATATTGATACATAGTCAAGGAAATATAAATAGCTGGAGCCATTGCAATGTTTCAAGTTACGCCCGTTTCTTGTTGAAGGCGTAGGCTGAAGCGAATAGAACTTCCTTACTGAAGTTGTGACAACTTCAGTTAAATAATTACTGATTACTTTATGACTTAGAGAGGTACTTTATTACATTTACGGCTATAGACCCAGATAAAACGAGTTCAGATTCAAACTTCTAGATACTTTAAAATTAAGAACTTTATCATTAGAAGCCAAACATTTGGAAGACGTTGCAAGGCCAACGCAGTTGCAGTATTTAAGTTAGCAGATACGTCGCGATAAGATCAAGAGATATTGAAAATTGTAAGCTTGTCCGTTATCAGGCCATGCGATCAATCACCTTGGTGTAATCCGAGCCTTATTCATTCACTGGTATTACGTTCGTCTTTATTTTATACATATAAACATTATAATAATTAAAGAAACTAATTAGATATAAAAATTATTGATTGCGATCTCGTACATACTTGGTTTTCGTAACAACTTAAGTATATCGCGTCCGGGAGAAATAAGTAGGTACCTATTAGTTTTAATCACTAATTAACAATGACCGTTCTATGTTTAATTTTTTTTAATATTGATCTTGTTACGTGGCTAGCTTCACGGCATGTGTGCCTATTAAGTCCAGTACCCTTGCCTCAATGGCCTAGTACCACAATAGCCTAGGGCCGCCAATAACAATCGGGCTCAACTGTTAACCGTTCAGTAACAATATGCGTAACCAGTCGCAGCGCCAGTTACACCATCAATTACAAGCAGTTATCGCGTTTTATTGACACATGAAAGATGCCGGTTTAATTGTTTGCACCGTACGTGAGCATGCTCGATTCTGAGCCTCTTGCCTCTAAACTAGGCCTATTAACATAATAACAGATCGCTCAGCGCGGAACTAGTTAGTCGAGCGACTCCGGCGCATACTGTGGTCGCTGTGTAATGAGAAACGTCAAATTGGTTTTGTATTCATGCGCTGGGAGCGGTGAGCTTGTGGATGGAGTCCGTTACCATTTGTTCACGTCCAGACGTCCACTAAATGTTTGAACTCTATAGTTTCTTTTCTTTAGTTGTAGATAAATTGATTGCAGTTGGTTTTGAAACCGTACAAATATGTTGCCATGTATTTTCTTATTGAATAGGTACGAGTGTGGTAATTAAATGCTATTCGTAGTCTTACAATGTTTACCAAGTTAGAAAATACTCATACGCATACAAAAGCGCTTGCTTTATGTACTAGGCTTTAGGCGTGAATGCTTTTTAACCGACTTTAT